CCTGATCCTTCTCTTCTCGGGTCCCCTGCTGGCGCTCCTGGCCCCTCCCTCCTGCCACGTGCCCCCATAGCAAGCAGCTCTGTCCCGAGTCGCTGCTCCATCTGTACATTCAGACACAGACCATGGCTTGGTCCTACTCCTGCTCTCTACTCATTGGCTCTGATTGAGAGTAGTGGTAGCAAATGGATCCTGCTGCTGCCTCGGCCAATGAGGAGGGAGAGACACTGGAGAGCCGTTGCTCTTGTGCACATCGCTGGATCAAGATGGGACTCAGGTAAGTATTGGGGGGGGGTGAGGGTCTAGCTGCACACTGAAGGTTTTTTAACTTCATGCATAGAATGCATGAAGGTAAAAAACCTTGAGCCTTTACAGCCACCTTAAGGCTGAACTCTGAGCAAAAAAAAAGTTTTCTCTTGCAGGTTGTTTTTGTGTAGGAGAGATATGAAAGGAGATTTACAGTGAAGGAAATAAGTATTTGATTCCCTGCTGATTTTGAATGTTTGCCCACTCACAAAGAAATGATCAGTCTAAAAATCGAATGGTAGGTGTATTGTAACACTGAGAGACAGAATAGCAATAAAAACAATTAAAAAGAAATGCATGTCTAACAAATTATGCACTGATTTGCATGTTCATGAGGGAATCACAGAGGTCAGACATTTCCTGTAGTTGGCCACCAGGTTTGCATACATCTTAGGAGAGATTTTTTGCCCACTCCTCTTCAGCAGATCCTCTCCAAGTGTTTAAGGTTTGGTGGCTGATGTTTGGCAACTCGAACTTTCAGCTCCCTCCACAGATTGGATTAAGGTCTGGAGACTGGCTAGGCCACTCCAGGACCTTAATGTGCTTCTTCTTGAGCCGCACCTTTGTTGCCTTGGCTGTGTGTTTTGTGTCGTTGTCATGCTGGAACACCCATCCACGACCCATTTTCAATGCCCTGGCTGAGGGAAGAAGGTTCTCACCCAAGATTTGACGATATATTGCCCTGTCCCATCGTCCCTTTGATGCGGTGCAGTTGTCCTGTCCCATTAGCAGAAAAACACCTCAAAAGCAGAATGTTTCCAACACCATGTTTGACAGTTGGGATGGTGTTCTTGGGGTCATAGGCAGCATTCCTCCTCCTCCAAACAGTGAGTTGAGTTCATGCCAAAGAACTCGATTTTGGTCTCATCTGATCACAACACTTTCAACCAGTCCTCCTCTGCATTATTCAGATGTTCAGTGGCAAACTTCAGACGGACCTGGACATGTGCTTTCTTGAGCAGAAGGACCTTGCAGGCAATGCAGGATCTCAATCCTTGTCGGCATAGTGTGTTACCAATTGTTTTCTTGGTGACTGTGGTCCCAGCTGTCTGGAGATCATTGACAAGATCCTCACGTGTAGTTCTGGGATAATTCCTCACTGTTCTCATGATCATTGACACTCCACAAGGTGAGATCTTGCATGGTGCACCAGACCTAGGGAGACTGACAGTTGTTTAGTGTTTCTTCCATTTGCGAATTATTGCACCAACTGTTGTCAACTTCTCACCAAGCTGCTTGGGAATAGTTTGGTAGCCCAGTCCAGCCTTGTGTAGGTCTACAATCTTGTCCCTGACATTCTTGGACAGCTCTTTGGTCTTTGCCATGGTGGAGAGTTTGGAATCTGATTATTTGATTGTTCCTGTGAACAGGTGTCTTTTATACAGGTAATAAAATGAGATTATCAGCACTCCCTTTAGCAGACTGATTCTAATCTCAGCTTGTTACCTGTATGAAAGACACCTTGTAGCCAAAATACCTTCTGAAGGATAGGGGATCAAATACTTATTTCCCTTGAGTTTTCATTCAATTTGTAGACTGATCATTTCTTTGTGAGTGGGCAAACATTCAAAATCAGCAGGGGATCAATTTTTTTTTTCCTTCACTGTACTTACCTGATTCTCCTCTGAGCTCTAGTGGTCTTGAGTGCTAATGTCATCAAGCAAACAGCAAGCTCCATAGGCCTGCTCTGGACATAAGAACACCAGGAATAGTCCACAGCTGGATCATAGGGAAGAACCGTTTGCAGGTGGAGCAAAGGTTCAGGTGAGTATAAGGCTTTATCCTCTCCCCTGGAGAAAACAAGCATCTAACCCTTGCAGTGCAGGCACAACCCAAGGGAAAAATTTTGTTTTTGACTGAAGTTGGATTTTAAGGCAGGCATACTATACAGGTTTATCCAGTCAAATATTACCAATGTTCGGGTATTTGACAGCTGGCAAGGCTGACTGTCAAAAAACATTAGCCACATCGGGAAATTCCACCATTTGTGCTGTATAGCTTGGAAGGGGGAAGATGTAAAAATTATTTTCGAGCACTCAGAATCTGGTGCAGCTGTTCATGGTAGCCAATCAGCTTCTAACTTCAGCTTGTTCAATTAAGCTTTGACAATAAAACCTGGAAATGGAATGGTTTTTATGCAGAGCTGCACCAGATTTTGCACTCTCAAGTTTTAGTAAATAACTCCCTGTGTGTATAGAAACAGTGCCAGGTTGCCAATACTGAAAAAAAATAAGAGGACCGGTCTTCCCAGCACACACAGAGATGGCTGGGGTTGACTGAGCGTGTACACAGGACGTTTTCTATCCGTAAGGCTGGAAATGCTGCTTTTCACTTTAGATTGTTAAAACAGGAGCAAGCTGTAGAGGAAAGCCTCAAGTATTCTAGCAAAGTGAGTGTAGAGATGCATTTAAACATACATTTGTTTATCCCTGGGGTACAGCTTTAAAGCATGTCACTTCGAACAAAAATGTAGGTTGCTGTAAAAGCCTCAGGTTTTTTAACCTAGGTTAAATGAATACGTGGTTATTTACAAAAGGGAATAAGAGATAGTTTTAATGTGTTTTATTCTGCACTGTCATGGGATTTCAAGCATACATAAAAAAACATGCTACCTACAGGTTTCATATTTCTTGGATTATATAATGTGGGTTCCCAATAAGGGGTTTGCCAAGGTATGGTAACAATTTCATCATATGGGTTTCATTATATGCTGTGATACCTGTAAGGCTTGGTTCGCACTGCTGCAACTTGGGATCTGACTTGTGGGACCCCAAGTCCCATGACATGTGAAATCCCATGTTAGTCAATGAGAGCTGCCTTAATTAGCACTACTGAAGTCACTCCGACTTTACAAAAGGTTCCTGTACTACTTCTATTTTACTTGTGCCCATAGACTTTATTCACTTGCCATCCGGCCCATGTACTTAAACGGCCAGACGGGAGCAGTGCAGGAGCGGGTTGCCGATCACACAGTATTTCTCAATGGCTGCAAGAATGCAGTCAGAGAGAAGGAGAAATGATTGCTTTTACAGCCGTTATGGGTGTAAAAGCAATCAGTGTAAAAAAAAATAAAAAATCTTCATCACTCCCAAGTAGTACAGTGTCACTATGGTGACACTGCACTGCTAGGGTGACAGTATGTAAATAAAAAAACAACATTAATAATATAAAAAATAAAATAAAAATGTAAAACAAGCATTTTGAAAAATTATAATTTTTGGTTATAAACTAATTTGGTTTACTTTGTTTTTACTAAAAAGATAACAGAATAAATTTTGGCCAAGATTCATGAAGAAAGATTATTTATTTGCAAAATGTTATAAGAAAAACACTTTTTTTCCAAATGTTTGGACTTTTTCATTTGTATAGCAAAAAAAATAAAAATCCCAGTGGTGAATAAATACCACCAAAATAAAGTTTTATCTGTCTCAAAAAAATGCTAAAAAAAATCATATGGGTACAGTGCTGCATGACTGCGTAATTGTCATTCAAAGTGTGATAGCACTGAAAGTTGAAAATTGGCCTGGACAGGAAGGGGGTAAAAGTGTCTGGACTTGAAGTGGTTAATGGAAGTTGCTTCCAAGTAGGATCCTCATCTATATTGATGTGATTTGGATTCGACTTTACAGGAAGATTACCCAGGCATTCCCTGAAAGTTGCTTCAAAGTCGCATCAAAGTAGTACTCAAGTTGCCCGAAAGTCGCCTTGCAAAGTCGCACTGTAGGTCACACGACTTGTAGGTCGCAATAGTGTGAACCGAGACTGAATGTATCAACAAAAATAGGAGATCCCAGAAGATACATTTGAGCATACAGAAACCACATGTGTTCAAGATAAACTCCATCCATTTAAGTCAGCCTTTCTCAACCTTCTCAACACAGAGGATCTCTTGAAATAAGTTTCCAGTATCAGGGAACCCCTGCTAAAATTGACTATATCTTAAACTCATGATACCTTAGTACAGTGATGGCGAACCCGTGGCACGCGTGCCACAGCCGGCACGCCGAGCATTATCTGTGGGCACGCCAGGAGAATACCGTATTTTTCGCTCCATAAGACGCACTTTTTTTCCCCCAAAAAAGGGGGAAAATGTCAGTGCGTCTTATGGAGCGAATATAGAGCGGCCAGTCCGGTATTTCCACCGCCGCCGTGTCAGAATACTGGGCCGGCCGCTCAGCTCTGCAGTGGGACCTTACCTGTCCCTCTGTCCAGCGGCGCGCTGTCTTCCCGGCTTCTGTAGTGTGCGTGACAGCCGGGTCCCAAGTGCGCATGCGCAAGAAGCAGTGCTCTTTGTGAATGGTAAGGCGGTACCTGGGACACATGACAGATCCCAGAAGCCGCCGGACCAATCACAAAGCGCAGCGCTTCTCGCGCATGCGCACTGGGCATCCGGCTGTCCGACGAGCGCCCACACTACAGAAGCCGGGAAGACAGCGCGCGGCTGGATAAAGGAACAGGTAAGATAAAAAAAAAAACTCTGCGGAAGTAAGAGCGGGTACCTGTCAAATTCAGGTACCCGCTCCCCCCCTCCCCAAAGGTCAGCAGTCATCTGTACTGTCCGCAGTCTCTGGTCATCCCTGTGCTTTCCGCAGTCTCTGGTCATCTCCTGTACTGTCCGCAGTCTCTGGTCATCCCTGTACTGTCCGCAGTCTCTGGTCATCCCTGTACTGTCCGCAGTCTCTGGTCATCCCTGTGTGCTGTCCGCAGTCTCTGGTCATCCCCTGTACTGTCCGCAGTCTCTGGTCATCTCCTGTACTGTGTCTGCAGTCTCTGGTCATCTCCTGTACTGTGTCCTCAGTCTCTGGTCATCCCTGTACTGTGTCCGCAGTCTCTGGTCATCCCTGTACTGTGTCTGCAGTCTCTGGTCATCCCTGTACTGTGTCTGCAGTCTCTGGTCATCCCTGTACTGTGTCTGCAGTCTCTGGTCATCCCCTGTACTATGTCTGCAGTCTCTGGTCATCCCTGTACTGTGTCTGCAGTCTCTGGTCATCCCTGTACCGTGTCCGCAGTCTCTGGTCATCTCCTGTACTATGTCCGCAGTCTCTGGTCATCTCCTGTACTGTGTCCGCAGTCTCTGGTCATCCCTGTACTGTGTCCGCAGTCTCTGGTCATCCCTGTACTGTGTCCGCAGTCTCTGGTCATCCCTGTACTGTGTCTGCAGTCTCTGGTCATCCCTGTACTGTGTCTGCAGTCTCTGGTCATCCCTGTACTGTGTCCGCAGTCTCTGGTCATCCCTGTACTGTCCGCAGTCTCTGGTCATCCCTGTACTGTTAATTAGTTTGCACTACTGTACGAGTTGTTTTTTCTAAACCAAAAGCTCGATATTCAGGTTTCATTGCAGTGTTGGCACTTTGAAAGAAATAAGTTGGTTTTGGGTTGCAGTTTGGGCACTCGGGCTCAAAAAGGTTCGCCATCACTGCCTTAGTATGATGGTCAGTGGGAAGAACAGTCATGATATGCATGCTGCTGATTCTGTATAATTGAATCACTAATTGAAAGGGGCATGTTCAAAATAATAGCAGTGTGGAGTTCTATTAGTGAGGTCATTCATTCTTTGAAAAACAGGTGGCAATTATTGCCCTTATTTAAGGAAGGAAGGCAGCAAATGTTGTACATGCTGGTTACAGTTCATTTCTCTCTGAAATTCTGAGGAAAATGGGTCGTTCCAGACGTTGTTCAGAAGAACAGCGTACCTTGATTAAAAAGTTGATTGGAGAGGGGAAAAAATATAAAGAAGTGCAGAAAATGATAGGCTGCTCAGCTAAAATGATCGCAAATGCTTTAAAATGGCAACCAAAACCTGAAAGACGTGGAAGAAAGTGAAAAACTACCATTCGAATGGATAGAAGAATAGCCAAAATGGCAAGGACTCAGCCAATAATCAGCTCCAGGAAGATCAAAGAAGGTGTAAAGTTACCTGTGAGTACTGTTACAATTAGAAGACGCCTATGTGAAGCCAAGCTATCTACAAGAAGCCCCTGCAAAGTCCCACTGTTGGAAAAAAAGACATGTGCTGAAGAGGTTACAATTTGCCAAAGAGCACATTGACTGGCCTAAAGAGAAATGGCGCAACATTTTGTGGACTGATGAAAGTAAGATTGTTCTTTTTGGGTCTAGTGGCTGGAGACAGTTTGTCAGACGACCCCCAAACACTGAATTCAAGCCACAGTACACTGTGAAGACAGTGAAGCATGGTTGCGCAAGCATCATGATATGGGGATGTTTCTCATACTACGGTGTTGGGCCTATTTATCGCATACCAGGGATCATGGATCAGTTTGAATACATCAGAATACTTGAAGAGGTCATGCTGTCTTATGTTGAAGAGGAAATGCCCTTGAAATGGGTGTTCCAACAAGAAACAACCCCAAACACACCAGTAAACGTGCAACATCTTGGTTCCAGACCAACAAGATTGATGTTATGGAGTGGCCAGCCCAATCCCCGGATCTTAATCCAATAGAAAATTTGTGGGGTGACATCAAAAATGCAGTTTCTGAGGCAAAACGAAGAAATAGAGAAGAACTGTGGAATGTAGTCCAATCATCCTGGGCTGGAATACCTGTTCACAGGTGCCAGAAGTTGGTTGACTCCATGCAACACAGATGTACAGCAGTTCTCAGAAACAGTGCTTATACAACTAAATATTAATTAAGTGATTCAAAGGAAAGCAAAATCTTCAAACATTTTTCAGTTTATATAGTGAATGTTTGAGTTTGTAAAGAAGAATACAAACACTGCTATTTTGTTGAACAGTCTAATATTCACTTTTCTTCAATTTTTTTAGAGGAACAACACAAATTTGATCTATTTTTCTTCATGTTTTGATTTGGAATAGAATGTGTCATGTTCCCAATGCATTTGTATGGAATAAAAGCTATTAGAAGGATTTTGAGCTTTATTCACTTTTTTCAACACACTGCTATTATTTTGAACACAACTGTATATACATAGAAGATGATGATGGCAGAAAAAGACCAAGTGGCCTATCAAGTCTGTTTTTTTTTCAGAGTATAGATCTGTGTTGGTCCCAAGCATATTTAATTTTGCTTACTGCTAGATCATCTTAATTAGATCAGTTATCACTGCACACATAGCCATTCTTATTTCAGTTTTTTTTTGTGGCAGTACCCAGGACAGAAACCAGTGCAAATCATACAGCTAAGTATGCACGCTAACAATTATTACAAGTAATTACCAGATACCTATACAACTGTCTTGGTGATTTAACATTTAAAGTAGTTTTAAAACATAAATATTTTTTTCCTAAAAACTATTTAGGTAGTAGTATCCCACTTCAACCCACCTAATACTTACCTAAGCTCTGACTCGATTCAGTGCTAAGCACATCTGCAGCTTTTCTTTTCCCTCTTCTTTTCCTTCACTTCCTGGTTTCTCAGGCTTTGTTGAGGCAGTGGGAGCCATTGGATCCCACTGCTTTCAATCAAAGTCAGCAAGGAAGCAGGGGGCAGGGTTATCCCAGGTCTGTGTCTATAGAGTCAGGCAGCGGGGAGCAAGATCGAGCCACACGAGTGCTCCTGTCAAAAGTGGCTACTTATAATAATAAATTGGTGTAGTGCTAATCCATATAACACATATGAATAAATATGCATAAATACATATAAAATATATAAACAAATATAATGATAACTCCAAAGTGATCTGATCCAGTAGGGATCTAATTGTGACACTCATACACGTGACACAGAAATGTGAAATAACGAATTGGTCCCAAATGGACCCAATATGGTGAAAAAATACAAATAACACCAACAAAAAAAACAACAACCCCCCCCCAAATCCCTGAAATTGGGATCAATAAATCAATATAATCAGAACTAGTGCAATCAACAGTGAATCCCCAAAATAAGGGGATAATCCACCTAAATAAAGTGATACTTATATTCCCCAAAAATAAAAATATATGAAAAACCAGTTGATCAAAGCCATATATAAATATCAATGCTCCAATATGAATAAAAATGATATATAGTGAAATATATGTCAAATATAAATAATGACAATAAATACACATAAAAAGTCCAAAAATCATGCAAATCAGCAAAAGTGATCCAATGAAGCAAAGTCATGCAGGTGATGCGGTGAATGTGCATTCAAGCCAATGGTATAAATCCTCAAATAGATTGCCCTCTCACCTCCTTACTGCGACCCACTGGGCCAGCGAGCCTTTAGGATCACACCAGGATCCTTCATGGGCAGTAACTCATCAGTGGATGGTATCCATAGGAAATCCCCATCAATGGTGGCACTTAAACATCTCAGGTCCCCTCCAGATAAATGTACCGTAATATAGCTCACTCTCTCATAGGGATCTTGTTGCCAGATAACCATTAGCTTTCAAACCACATTCTATGGGTGTACCTCTGCATGAGTTTCAGGTGTGCCAAGATGGCCTCCACGCCGAAACTACATCACCGCGTACCTACGCATTGTGTCACGTTAACCACGTGACTTCCTCAGGATACCCTGAGGAAATCACTTGGTTAACTTTATGCAACGCGTAGGTACACGCTGACGTAGTTCTGGCGGTGAACTACGTCACCGCGTACCTACGTGTTGCATCACGTTAACCACGTGACTTCCTCAGGGTACCCTTCCTCAGGGTACCCTGAGGAAGTCATGTGGTTAACTTGATGCAACGCGTAGGTACGTGGTGACGTAGTTCCGGTGTGGACACCATCTTGGCACACCTGAAAGCCATGCAGAGGTACACCCATAGAATGTGGTTTGACAGATAATGTTTATCTGGCAACAAGATCCTTATGAGAGAGTGAGCTATATTGCGGTACCTTTATCTGGAGGGGACCTGAGATGTTTAAGTGCCACCATTGATGGGGATTTCCTATTCATACCATCCACTGACGAGTTACTGCCCGTGAAGGATCCTGGTGTGATCCTAAAGGCTCGCTGGCCCAGTGGGTCGCGGTAAGGAGGTGAGGGGGCAATCTAGCCATTTGAGGATTTATACCATTGGCATGAATGCACATTCACCGCATCACCTGCATGACTATGTTTCACTGGATTGCTTTTGCTGATTTGCATGATTTTTGGACTTTTAATGTGTATTTATTGTCATTATTTATAGTTGACATATGTTTCACTATATATCATTTTTATTCATATTGGAGCATTGATATTTATATATGGCTTTGATCAACTGGTTTTTCATATATTTTTATTTTTGGGATATTTAAGCACGTATCACTTTATTTAGGTGGATTATCCCCTTATTTTGGGGATTCACTGTTGATTGCACTAGTTCTGATTATATTCATTTATTGATCCCAATTTCAGGGATCTGGGGGGGGTTGTTTTTTTTTTTTTGGTGTTGTTTGTATTTTTTCACCATATTGGGTCCAATTGGGACCAATTTGTTATTTCACGTTTCTGTGTCACTTGTATGAGTGTCACAATTAGATCCCTACTGGATCAGATCACTTTGGATTTAGCATTATATTTGTTTATATATTTTATGTTTATTCATATGTGTTATATGGATTAGCGCTACACCAATTTATTTATATAATTTTGCATTCACACCTAGATGTTTAGGTTTGGGTGTTAGCAGCTTATACTAGGTATATCTCCAATAATTTTTAGAAGCGCAGGAGGATCACATTACCTATAGGTGCACTCACCGGAGAGGAGGAGCCAGAAGCATTGTCAGGAGGCCCACGAAAAAGAGATTTGGGGGCACTCTATTTAATTCCATTGCACAGAGCAGGTAAGAATAAACCTGCTTGGTTTTTTTTAATTTTTGCATTTACAATTACTTTAAAAAGTAGACATTTCAAGGGGGTACAGTATGCCCACTGCCATTCATTCTCATGGGAGAAGTCTCCAATTTTTGGAGATGTAAGCAAAACCCTGGAAATCTTCTACACATTGTGCCCCTTATACACATCACCCAATGCCTACTAAGGTGAAGATGTTATGTGGATTCACTTACAAGGTGTTTAGTGCCTCTCTTTTCAGTATTCCTCTTAATCGTATGCTGCAAACAGGACCTATAATCTGTTTTTTTTTACGTCAACATTCCTAGAAGAGTCAAAGACCCACAACTCTATCTTCTTGGCCCTGAGGTCATCTATATAGCAGGCAGCAGATATGGAAGCCCTACATGACCTGCTTAGTGCCCAGCCTAAGGCTTCG